TTTGTCTCGTCGCGCCGGTACACGGCATCACAGTATGGTAAGGGGTTACACATTTCACAGGTGACACATTTCGGTCACACACTTGAGGTATTCGGCCAATCACAACACACTGGATAGCTGGCCAATCAGAGCACACCTCGCTTTTCAGACCGATGAGCTTTGTAAAAATCGACGCATTTCAGAAAGGCGGGGCACAGAGGAGAAACAATAATGTAGAGTATGTGGAAAAGAATGTTTTTTTTTACTTTAAACCGCATAAACACATTTCATTACACCAAATACACAAAATAATGTTCTTTTTAGCAACATCATATGACCCCTTTATGCAAATGTAGCAGGTCAACCACGTGTTCTTAAGCTACAGACAATTTGCATTCACGCAATATACATACTGCAGAAACAGTAAGTGCACTATGCTAGTATGCTGTTCTGAACTAGCTTTCTACTTAAAAGGCAAACAGGGTGTTACCTCATGGCTGGTTGAGAGAGGAGGATCGCTGGAGTTTAAGCTCCAGGAGAGCTCAGGGGTCGGGGCTCCAGACACACTACACATCACTGTAGCATCACTTCCTGCCATTTGATTGACAACAGCAGGGATAACCTCGACACGTGGATACTCTGAAATAATGGCAGAATTTTCATGTTTGTGGGAACAATTCTTTTAATACTTCTTACTGTGATAATTGCGTAATACACGCAAACTGTGTGACTTAGATCTGGGTTAAACATCATATAGTTTAAGTTTCATTACCACATGAATTAAGAGTGAGTCTAGAGAGGGCTTTTGCACTTCCTCCTTCCTGTAGACACTGCAGGCCCTCTCTCTCACTGTCATCCAACCAGACTTTGATCCAGATGTTCTTACATTCACATTGTAAAGGGTTCCCGGAGAGCAACCTAAAGCAAACCCAAACAGACTTCAGGAACAGAAAGATGCTTTCTTTGTATGCTGTACAAACAGAGCACTGTACAGTTTTGTACATATTTTTATTGAAACAAGATCTTACAAAGTCGACAAGTTGGAATTACGAAGTGCTCTCCAAGAGAGTGTTGATAAGTTATTGTCTCTGAGATTCCTATAGATACAGAACAGAAGACTCAATTAATTAAAGAATAACAGTATAGAACATTAGTTTGAAGTTTATTTGCTTAATTTGCCATAAATTTAATTAAATAATATATTGAAAAAGACTCACAGATATTGAAGTTTGGAATTGTTGAAGAAGGCCATCGTAGATATATATGTCAGGTGAGTATTGGTCACTGTTCTGTGTGACAGTATATGCTCATATAAGTTCTGCTGTTTCATAAAGTTTCATTAGCATTTTGCATGACCTTACAACATCAGATACTCACAAATTCCTGAGATTTGAGTAGAACTTCATATGGTCCTCATTGATTGTAAGTAGCCTTTTTTGATTTGAGATGTATCTGTGGAATGGAAAGGAATGATTAGGCAGAGTAGGCACATAAACACGGTAGCACCGTAGTACTGTGATAAACTACCATCAAAGTTTGGGGTCGGTGAGATTTTTTGATGTTTTGCAAGAAGTCTCATGCTCAGCAATGCTGCGTTTACTCTATCAAATCTATACAATAAAAACAGCAATGTTGTGAAAAATTATTACAATTTAAAATAACATAATATCATTGAACATTTTATTTATTTCTGGGAAGGCAAAGCTGAACACGATCCTTCAGAAATCATTCCAATTTGCTAAATTGGTGCTCAAGATATATTTGTTATTACTATAGTAAATGTTGAACACAGTTGTGCTGCTTAATATAACCGTGATACATATTTTCTGGATAGAAAGTTCAAAGAATAGAAAGTCACAATGTCAACGTTTGTATTCTCACTTTTGATCAATTTCATGCCTACTTGCTGAATAAAAGGAATTGATTGGGGTCCCAAAAATTGTGATCCAACATTTTCAACGGTATTGTACCTACACTCTAAAAAAATGCTGGGTTAAAT